AGCTTTATATAATGGTTGGGAATAAGATAATAGTCTAGAAATATGTATTATTGCTTCTTTTATCATTTTACAAAATATCATTGCATATTTCCACATATTTCATAATATTTTCACAATGTCTCTAATTTTTACAATATTTCCCCTCGACATTTCCGGCATTTCCGACATATGTCCTATATTTTGGTAAGTGACATTTCTATCGACATCGACATTTTAAACCTTGGTCATACCAGACCTAACAAAAACACATGCCTTGCTGCATCTGGATCCCACGATCTACACAAGAGGTTGGAAGGCTTTTAAACTTCTTCACAGCATTCAGCCACCACAGTTAATGAGTTTTCTTGGTTCTATGCTACAACCAAGAAGAGAGAATACAAAAACACCATAGATTGTCTCAGACTAGGTCGACTAGAGTTTATTGAGTTTCAATCCAAAAAAGGTAAGAAGGAAGAAGAAAATTTCATCTAACTGCTCTTAGATCCCAGAAATATGCTTTGATACCATATTATTTTGTAATAAAGTAAGAGAAAAGAGGTAAGAAAAGAGATAGAAGAGAGGGAAGAAGAGACTTTGAGAGCCAAAAGAATAGGCTTGCAGCAATACAATAAAAGATAAAAAGACTAAAGTGACCTTGTGTCACATACAGTGATAAATACAACAAAATTAATACCACTGGGGCAGCTATAATTAAGAGCAAGCATGGGATGGACACCAATGGTTGGGACAGCAAGATTCATTTGAATCAGGTTAAAGCAGCCAACCCCTGGAAAGGTGTTGCTACTTGCGTTAGTTTCATTCCTTTCATAAGGTATAGACCATGTATGGGAACAAAATTAAATTTTGGACTGATCTTGGTGGGGTGAGTCTATCTTGGCTGAGTTGTACCATCATGTTTTTAGCCTATTCCAAAACCAAAAAGCTACCATCTCTTCATGTCTTTCTTCTCCCTCTCAAGGAATTATCTGGAAACCTTAACCTTAGGAAGACCCTTAAGGAATGTGGAAATTTATTTATTCTTTGATGAATGAGGAATGTGGAAACTTATGAGATTGCTGACCTTCTCCATTCTTTAAGGAAGGTCTATGCATCTCCTTCTTCTAGTGATCAACATATTTGGCACCTCCACCCTACTGGTAAGTTCTCAACCAAATCCTTTTTCAAGGCTCTAATTGTGGGAGAGTTCAACTCTCACTTCCCCTTTAAGAAGATTTGGTTGAAGAACCAGGGAAGATTATGTATTTCCCCTCATGCCTGTGTTTTATGTTTCAATGAGGAGAATCAGCTGAACATATCCTTCTCCATTGTTGGGAAACCAGAAAAATCTGTTATCACTTCCTTAATCTCATTGGCTATAGATGGGTTGCTCCTGAACAAATTATGGATTTTATTTGGAAATGGCATGCAGAGGACCTGTCAGAAGGGGTCAGATTTATTGGGCTGTGGTTTTGCATGCTGTGTTGTGGAGTGTGTGGAAAGAAACAAACAACCATATTTTTGAGAACAAGGCGAGATCTCTTGATGAGTTGATTGCCCACATCACTTTTTTATGTAATTTATGGGTGGCAAATTCTGGGGAGTTTCAAGGAATTCCAGTGGGAGATTTGCAAAGAAATTTAGTTAACTTCTTATATTCCTCACCTATGATTCTGACCTGGCAATCTGGCCCCGTCTCTAGACATGTTGGGGTGATGATATTAAACTTTGATAGAAGTGCTTTCAGCATCCTAGGTGATACTGGTATTGGGGGTGTGGTCAGGACAAGTGATGGAAATATCTGTTGGGCTTTTAGTGGTCCTATTGTGACTGCTGATTCAACTAAGGCAGAGGTGCTAGCTTCCTGCTCTTACTGGACTCTGAATTGCTAAAAATTTGGGTATCTTGAATTTGTCAATCAAAGGAGACTCTAATACATTGGTTAGGAGTGAAAGATGGTGGTCTCTGGGCGCTGGCTCATTTCCTGAACGAGGCTAGAGACATTTTGGAATCAATGACTGTGACCTTGGATTCTTTTTTTTTTTTTTTTTTGATAAATTATGACTTTGGATTCTTAGAGAATTGAATTCTTCTTTGGCTGATAGTCTAGCCATGTCTGGGACTTAGAGGGATACTTTGTACAGCAACAGAAATCTACCAATGTAACCTGTGGTTTAAGTTGCGCTGGCTTCAGCTGTACATCATCTCATGTACCCCTTTTGTTTTATTGAAATTTCTGTTATTATCTCTCTCTCTCTCTCATAAAAGATAACTAAATAAATAAAGAGCAGGATGGGAAAAACAGAAGGGTGTATTTGGAGTCTTATGAAATAGGTGAATACAACTTGTGTAAAAATGAAAGTTCTATAAAACAGTTGTAAGGCCAACAATTATGGAGAAAAGGTGTTGGGAAGTCAAGAAACATGTCCAAAAAATGGGTTTGGAATTAATGCATATGCTGAGATTGATTAATGGAAAAACTAGAAAGATAGGGTTAGAAATGAACCCATTTGGAGGAACCTACGAATATCTCCAATGGGTGATAAAATAAGAGAAAGTAGACAAAGATGGTTTAGTCACATCCATAGAATACTATCTATAGAACCTGTAAGAAGAAGCAATCTGTTGCGAGTTGAAGGAGCTAGAAGGGCTAGGGGCTGACCAAAAATGAGATAGTTTGAAGTAGTAAGAAATTATTTAAATTCCCATAAAAATAAATTGACGGGGCTAGAAGGTCTAGGGACAGTCCGAAAGGGACATAGGTTGAAGTAATTAGAAATGATTTAAGTACTCATAATTTAACAATGGATATGGGGTATTTTGGTCATTCTACTGTCACTGGGTCCAGCCTATTAGTTTGATTTCTCTAGTTATAGTTGGTTTGTCSTTAAAATTTTAAAATCATTGGTTAAGTCATTTAGGATCTGTTTGGGGAGAGTGCAAATACAAATATGTTCAGTGCAAAATCTTGTATATGGTCCATATCTGTATTTCTAAACCTTGTATTTGTACTCTTGCCAAATGGAACCCTAGGAGTTATTGCGTTTACTTATGATAGGAGGACTAATCACTGCCGTAGTGTCTATATAAGTGATTTTTGTCCAAGATTATACATGTTACTGGTAAGTGACTGATTTGGAAAAAGATGAGAATATGTGGTTTGGAATCCTACTTTCACAAGATCTTTAATGGAAAAGAATCAAGAAATGCATCAATCTTTAACAAATTAGAGGAGCCTTAAGATCAACCCAGAGAAATGTGATCCGAGGTGATGAAAGCATTTGCATAGTTACTATCTATGGATAATTTTCTGACAATCGATCATCTTATGTCAATGGGATCTTGCCAAACGTGTCCTTTTTTTATGTAGAAATGATGAAGATATGATGCACCTATTCTTTCATTGCAAGGTAGTGGAATTCACTTGGGTTTACTTTTTTTTTCTACAACTTGGGAAGCCTCAATTTAATCCAGGTAATCCAAAGGGAAAACTTTCCTTATTGGAAAGCATTGAAGAGAACAAGAAGGCAAAGAATTATTCGAGCATAATTCTTTTGCAGTTTGTTGTGGACTTTGCAAACAGAGAAACTGAAGAATATTTGAGGGCAAATGTAGAAGTCTTAATAGAAATGTGACAGACATTATTTCTTTTTTACTGGACTGGTGCTCGTCACTTGAATTCAAGGATTTGGATCATTCTTTGCTGGAAACAAACTTATTGGTCGTTTTGTAGTTGTTAAAGTCTAATACTATATTTGTTTTTCCCTTTTTTGTGGTGAAATTTTATCACCTGATACCGTGTCATACTTTTTTTATTAATAAATTTTCTGTTAGCCAGATAGCTAGGACCAACATTGGGTAATGTCCTTGTAAGAAACTGTCAATGTGCTCCAAGCCCTAAAAATTCTCATTGATCAGGATCTTTGCATGCATATAACTATTGTACAATGTGGTTGTCAGATGGTTTTMCCCCTGCCATATTATTTTGCATCATGTTATCTCTTCCTCCCACATTCAAATGTGAAATATTTTTATAATCCATTTTCTTGTAAATACTGTTTCTTGTCAGGATAGGTTGGAATGATGCTAAGGGGTATGGGCTTTGATAACAATACAGCAATTTATCTGGCATCTGGGAAGATATATGAAGCAGAGAGGAATTTAACTCCTCTAAAGAAGATGTTTCCCCTTCTGCAGACTAAAGAGTCCCTTGCAACCCCAGAGGAGCTAGCTTCATTTGAGGTAAATTTCTTGCTAGCTCCGTATGACATGTTGGTTGGCATTTTTTTTACTTCCATTTTTCTTGGATTTATAGGGCTATTCTTCAAGGTTGGCTGCTTTGGACTACACCGTTTGCTTGTTTAGTGAAATTTTTGTGACAACTCAAGGTGGTAACTTCCCCCATCATCTGATGGGCCACAGGCGGTTTTTGTATGGACATGCCAAGACCATCAGGCCAGACAAACGCAAACTAGTTGTTCTACTGCACAACACTAGTATCAGGTCACCTCTCTCTCCCTCCATCCCTCCCTGTGTGTGTGTGTGTGTGTGTGTGTGGACATGCCAAGACCATCAGGCCAGACAAATACAAACTAGTTGTTCTAGTGCACAACACAAGTATCAGGTCACCTTTCTCTCTCTCTGTCTATCTGTGTCTTTCTCTTTCTCTATCTTGTGTGTTTTTTGTATGGACATGCCAAGACCATCAGGCCAGACAAGTGCAAATTAGTTGTTCTACTGCACAACACTAGTAATAGGTCACCTCTCTCTCTCTCTTCCCCCATATAATGTGTGTGCATATCTATATATTTAATATGTATATATACTCAGTAATTTTAAGCCATTTTTTTGTTATTGACTTTATACAGCTGGAAAGATTTCAAAGTGCATGTGGAAGAGATGCTTGTAGAAAGTGATCGGAAGGGGATAATGGTGCCTAGAATGGGACAAGAGAGCAAACAAACTTCCATCTATGCATATCCTTTTCCAGAATGCAGGTGTCTACATGGATCACAAAATTTAACCCTTTCATCTGCTCAGACTCTTCATTCTATCGGCCATAAACCCCATGCCATGGTTTAGAAAAACAGAATATTCTGTTTTATTTCCCTGCCGCCTTTCATTTACATTTTTTTGATTGCTCCTGTCCACCATCAACCCCATCCCCCTTTCTTTGAATCCCTTTTGACCCTTTGCAAACCATGATCAAGCCTGCCATGAAGTAGTAGTTAAGCCACTATTGATGGATATGCAATAGGCAGGTGTTTGGATTTTGAGAGACCTTGGTTCTTGTTTTGCTTCTATATGAGGGTGCCTAATCTTCTCCAATAAATTAGATCAACTAACTTTGCATCTAAGTATTTCCACATAGGTCCAAGGACTTAAAAGTTGCAACGAGTGATGGGCCTTCAGAATTCCTTTTACAAAGCTTACACAAGGATGAAGAAGACCAGATTAGTTTCAAGATGACTGTTTATAGCGTTCTTTGCATAGTTTTAAAACTGTAAATTTCATTGAACCCTCCATCCATATAATATTGTCAATTTGGTTCCATAAATAGAGGACTCTTTATGGAGTTATGTATAAGTTGTTTTTTTTATTTTTTTATTTTTTTTTCAGCCATGTGTTCCATGTTAGGGAATTAGGGTCCCTACCCATATCAGAAACATGAATTTACTTCTAGAAGTGTAGCAATATCCCTTCCACTATTTACACAGAACCTGTAGATGGGTCTGGATTCCATTGCTTGCCAAGCTCCTTGAGCAAGGGTTTCCAGCAAAGAAGGTAAAATCTGCTTATTCAACTGATTCACAGATTCAGTGCTCTATATGGCTTTTCAAACTGAGATGACATGCTTGGTGGGAAAATAAGAAGAGAAACAGATGAGGGGAAAACCATCTTCTTCAGGAGGGGTTTTTGCACCAAAGATAACTTGCCTTAGGTTTTCACCTTTACCTTCAAGGCTTCAACTGAATCGCCCCTCTGCAATATTGACATCTTTGCTTAAAGGACACCCGATTAGCAGTGAAATGTGAAAGTAACTAGACTTTGTTAATATATTTTTGAGGAAAGTTCCCGCTTAGACTCATTAGCTAACTAAATGCTTTAAATTCATGGTATTTCTTGTATACCTTTAAGGTCTTGTTTCGGGTAAGTTTCTTGGGAAACATGTATCCGAGTGAGTGCATTTATGATTTAYCCATGTTCTTTTATTTCCCAGGTAAATAATATAATGACCATTTTAGCTATAAAAATTTCATTATCCAAAGGGGCATTTTTGTCCCATCCAAGTTTTTACAACTTTCCCCTAGATGGGAAAATTAATTTACCCACCTAGGAAATGGGTATCACTTACTCAGGTGAGTGATACCCCTAGGAAAATAAACTTTCTTTGGTCCCTCAAAATCCCTACAACGAATGCCCCCTAAGTGAGATAGAGCAGCTAACAATGGGCCTAATGTCACCACTGGCACAGCCCTCACTTCCATCTTTCAATGGCAATACGTTAAAGAGCAGAGTTGAGATTTTCTGCCAACAAAATACATTCCAATAATGCACATCTCACCATGAGACTACCCAGTTACCACCATAAAAGAGGGACTCGCCATGTATGAGAAGTGTTGTGTAAGATCATGTTGGTAGAGGGCTGGAACCTGTTTTGTTGACAGGTGATCCGGACTCTAAGGTGCATCATCTCAGAGGTGATGTTGAGGATGCGTTTGCATCATTAGTTTTTCTCAACTCCCCTTTACCAGCTTGGTCATGTTCTCTAGTTCGGAATTGAAGCTATCGGTCGTATGCTCCTAATTACAGGTCAAATCTTTTTTCTTCTTTTTCTTTATTTTGTTGTTGGCCTTTTTTTTCTTCATTTTTATTGTATTTCTTGTACTTTCTACAATTCCCCACTTTTTCTTTATTCTTTTTTGCAAAA